GCCCTACCCGGAGGCCCGGCGGAAGCCGGGAGCTCTCCTGTGGGGCGTGCCCGGCGCGGCGTGAGGGGAGGCGGGCCTAAGGATCGAGCGGGGCCTGTGGAGCTACGCTGCGGCTTTTCGGGCTGAAACGCCCTCATTTTACCGGACACCTCACTCTGTAGATGGCGATGGCCCACAATCACATTGATTTACAGCCTCTTCCCTGAGCTCGCTTGATCTCTTGTTTTCTGGACCCCAGATCCTCTGTAGTCCATCTTTGAACTCTCCCTGCTTTTTGGCATCCACGCTCGCGCTCCTTGCTGTTTCATATTAATAATAGTCAGAAAAAGAAAGGGGTAAATATACATTCCGACGAATACAAATGCTCACAAGCTGGCTTTATAGGCAGCTGTGTTAATTACTCCCTCAGTTCCCCAAGTAACAAGTATCTGGCCTGCAGAAAAAAATTCTTGGCTTCAGCTTTTAACCAGATGGAGCATATGGTCAAAATGGGGTCAGAATACGATTTTCCTCAAAACTTTCTGGAGAATTGCCGTTAGGGCCGCCGATTCATAAACAAGTGTTTGCACGAAGGATATGAGGGAAAAGTCACAGAATCACAGAATCACAGAATCGCAAGGGTTGGAAGGGACCTCGGGAGATCATCTAGTCCAACCCCCCTGCTAAAGCAGGCTCTCCTAGAGCATTCTACACAGGACTTCATCCAGGCGGGCCTTGAATATCTCCAGAGAAGGAGACTCGAAATGGATTTATTCTCATTTGTATAATAAAACACTGATTGCAGGCTAGCACTAGCTAGAACAGCACCAGCTAGGAGCCAGCCACGTGAAGGAGCATTTAGTGTCTACTCCGTTCATAAATTCGCAAGGAAGAAGGATAAATTGCGTGGCCAACTAAAATTTGAGGAGGCATCAACAGCTTTGGAGGTGCAGCCAGGTGAACAGTGGCTAAGCATGGCCTTATGGAGGCAGAAATGGGAACTCACAGTCCAGGGGAGAGCTCAGATGTGAGGAAGCCGGATAAAAACCTCAACATTCCTGTAAAGCCTGAATTGAACCCAGAATTTCCAAATTTTACTAGTCCTGTTTAATAAGAAGATGTTAAAAAATCCCCAAACCAACCATGAATGGAGCAAATTCAGAGTCTGTTACACAATATTCATTCTTTCTGACCATGAAGAAACAGCTAATGTACTTTGGAACCCAAAGCAACACCCAGAATGCACTGAAAAGCCCTTAAATCATTGTTGGGAAGCACGATAGCACTGCTACTGTAGCGGTGTAAGAAAGAAAGGGAAGGAAACATGCATACATCTTAAAGTTATTGATACTTTAATTGCAGATCTCTGTGTGATTTTTTAGTCAATATGGACAAAGATAAGCTCACAAGAGTTAGGATTCTCCGGAGAGATGTTACCTGCTGGCTGCATGAATGTGTCTGAAATCAGCCGTTTGTGATATTAGCAAAGACAACAAGAGAAGTTTTTAAAAATCATTAACAACGCTGACTGAGTGAGTGTCTCTGAAAGAGCATCTTGGACTTCCTGACTTGCATGGTTCACATCCCAGCTTTAATGTGGTATTAATATAAGAAAGGAAGACCAAGAAAGTGCATGAAAAGGAAGATAACCAAACATCAAACTGGCCTTTCAGCAAATTCTGAAATTTAAAGGAGAAACTAAGCAAGAATGAGAGATGTGGGAAGGATTTCCTGGGGTCAGACTAGTTCAGCCCTGCAGACTTTCTCCTGTGGGAGTCTGTGGGACAGGCATTGTCAGGAATGCTGACTTCTTTGACAGCAGATCTATTTCATGCCCAAAGAAAGTATTTAAAGCTTTTAGCACCTGAGGAATGCGAATTGCTCCAAGCTACAGCATATGCTGTGTTCTTCATTTGTCCGATAACTTCACTGTTACAGAATCAACACCTAAAATAGCCTCCTATAAAAGCTGATCTGTTTGGGAAGATTAAAGTTTCCCTCCCTACTGGGCAAGAACTCTTTTTTTTTTTTTTTTTTTTAAATGTGAGAGGAATGACTTGGAATCTGTGGCTAGAAAATCTGGCTTTGGAGACCCTGGGGTCTGCGGCACGCTGCATGCATACAGTGTGCTGGGCTTTTCTTGGAGCAAAACCTGTGTTTGCGGAGTGGTTCCCTACAGCTTCCAGGATATGCAGACTGCTGACTTACCATCCTTTTACAGTGAGGACAGCAGATCAGCATGGAGGCAGAAGAAAGCAGAAGGGACGGAATTTCAAGTTTTCTCTATGCAAGATACCAAATCAAGCTTCAGCAGTATTTGCTGAAAGCCTCCTCTGTCTGGTTAGAAAGAGACCTGGAGCCAGTTCCCCACCAGTGACCATTGACCAACCACTCCACATGGCCTCGCTACTCTTGCCAGCTTTTGCAAGACAGCTGCAACGTTTCATGAGCCAACTATTGAAGAATTCCCGTGGATGAAAACACTCCACACAGCACAGGGGTTTTATGACATGCACTCCTGGCCTCGCCTGACATCCAGTCTTGGCTGCTGCTTCCTACTTATCCTCAACTGCCAGTGTGTCTTATTTAGAGCTATTTCCAATCAGCGTCTGTTTGAGGTACGCGCAGCTCTCAAATTAGTACCAGAACTAACCAGCTACTAGAAGGGAGAGGTGCTCATAGCTACTTCGGTATCTCCCACACCCAAGCTGAGCCACAGATCAAATGTCTGGTTCTGTGAACCAAGCCCATTCAACTCGTTATGTAAGCAGATGTGTATGTTTTATTCTAAATTTGGTGACATCCATGGTGGATACCATTCCAACCCGCTTTGCGCTCAGGGTGCAAAGAATCCTAGCAAGTGCACTGCATGGAATGGGAAAATGGTAAATTAACAGACCTCCTGGCAGCCTCAGCTCTGGACCGGAGAGGGCAGGCAAGTCCTATTTAGTAACATATTAATGGATTCTACTGAGTCTCTTGTTTTGTATGCAGGACATTTTTGTTCTCTGACAAGACAGAAATGCTTGGCTTTACAGATTGCTCGGTGCAGAGAAACAAATGCAAAAACCACATGAGCAGGGCAGATTGCTGGGCTGCTGGGCTCTGCCCACTATGTCTGCAGGACTGATAGCTTACGTGGTACCCCCAGTGAAACTGGTTTTGGTGGTGCCAGAAGGACAGCCATGCCTGGGGTCTCTCCCAGCTGCACAGGGCAGGAACAGTGAGAAGCTGGAGACCAAAGGCTCGGCTGAAGTAGGAGGAGGGTGGGAGGCATGAGATGGAGCTGCCCCGAGCCATCAGCCAAGCTTTTATAAACCTATAGTTTCTTTTCTGAAGATGTTAAAGACAGTTTATTCAGTATTTCCTAAATCAAGAGGAGTTGTACTGCAAGTATGCCTGAAAAATCAATCAGAACAGAAAAAGAGTATACATGAGAGTGTCCGGGGATTTGTGTGTGTGTATATATGTATGTACGTGTGCATCTATGTAGAGTCAGAGCATTGCAAGCCTAAGAGCTCTTAGCCGCCTCCAGTACTGCCCCTCTGCTGAGAGTGCTCAGAATGCGCTGGATGCAGGGGAAGAGCCAATTTAAGAACTTCCACTGGCTCTTTGCCTCCAGCCACTTATTCTTGTCTCCCTTCTTCAGAGCAGTTTCCCCTCCCCTGTTCCAGTGCAATAACTTGCAGGGCTGTCCTTAAACCAGCTCCCTGAACTGGTTGAGGTTAACACCTCTTCCATGTGCTGCTGCTACCATGTCCATACTCTCTGGACAGGACAACAGATCACCTTTGAGAGCAGTAAGAGCAGAAGCAGGCACAAAAGAGGGGCATCAGCAAAGCTGAGCTCAGGGTAACACAATGAGGAAAAACAGTTTTTCTGCATCCTGTGCAATGCCAACACGCCAGCTGCTAGCAGTAGTTCAGATAAGCTGCACCAATGTCTCGTAACAGATGAAAAATGTTCAAATTAGGATGCAGTTGAGCTGATAGCGATAATTTGTTTTTACAGGAGTAATCCTGTACCCTTTGTAAATACAGAAGAGCTGCTGGGAGTCATTTCATTATATAGTGGTGACCACCACAGGGAACTTTGCAAAGGTGACACTTGTATTGTACGGGCCTACTGGGATAAAGACCGGTCACCTAATTGCTAGCTCCCCTGGGAAAATAACAGAGCATTTTCCAAATGAGACCAGAAGCTTATGTCCTAAATGGGACCCAGTCACACTCTGTCCTAGGGGTTCGTCAAAAACTTGGCATGGAGAGGGTGAACAAAGAGTGAAAATGAAAGAAAGTGGCTTAGGAAGTGGCAGGATCAAAGAGACAGTTCACACACAGACTGAGGAGCTTATTTCCATAGGACACTGTGGTTACTAAAGCATTGTAGGGGTTCGAGAACCTTTTGAACAAACACCAGGAAGAAAAGTCTGTCCAAGCTATTAAACACAGACACACCATCTCTAACTCGGGAAGTCCCTGAGCCACAAACCACCGGGTCTGGTGGAGTATTTAGGAGAAATATGACTGTATACTTGACCTGGTTTTATACTGTCTGTAAGCTTTTGCAACTGGCCGCTGTTGGAGGTAGACATCTTCTGCGTGGTGGATCTGTTATCTGACTCATCCAGCTCTTAGAGACATTCTGCAGGAGTCACATTTGTTTTGCTTATCCTGCTTAGCTGATCTCTTCTAATGAATCTAAATTCATCCAGGCAACGCTCAGAAAGCGAAAGAAAATGTCCAAAGAGCAAAAATGCCCCAAATCTTCTTCAGTGAAACAGGACTGCTCACCCAGAGCCTGTTGTTTGCTGTCACAGACATCCAAATTTAGGAAACATATGGGCGTGGGCATATTTAGAGTCATTGACCACAGGCATGACATAGCACTGGTTACTAAAACTGACCTGAAGTTGTTTGCCTTGCAGGATATGGTAAGGAGGCTTGGATTGAATACCATTGACTAAGGTCACAAGAGTTAAGCTTGAAATAGCAGAACTTGAGAACATTTGGGATGTAAACAGGTGACTGGAGGGAGTATGTCACAAGCTTTTTGCAAGGGATAATCATTGACCAGAACTGTTGGCATGTAGGACCCAATCTGAGAAAGGCTTTACTGCCTGTGTAACAGTGCTGGCCACAAAAAGATTAGCTCTGCATTCACTGCAAGTTAATTCCTAGTGATTTGTAACTCCCGTCTTGCTTGTCTTCATCGATTACAAGAATAATTAGAGAGAGAGGCTCATCTTAGGGCTCACAAGCCAGAACAAGAGGCAGGGACACCCCTCTTTTGGGGTTTGCATTTCAGGTTTAGTCATTGTAACTAAAATTGCTGTTACATTTCCCTTTTAACCTTCTTTCCCAGTGTAAGAAAATGTATGCACTCAAGTTGTCTATATATCTATTTCCTTCCCTTTTGAATCTGCAGGCTTAGGTCCCGTAGAGTTTTAAAAACCCTGCTTCAAGATAGAGGGGAAAGATCCGGAATCATGTTTCTCCTTACAAAAAGAAACAAGAATGTGCTCAGCACTTCCTTACGCTGTTTGAAGTGTTCTAGGTGACCAGCAGCCAGCGCAGGCTGTTCATGGGACACAGGAGGTAGGTGGTGTATGGTGGGGGGGGAACAGGGGAGCGGGCAGCCTTATGAGGTCCTCATGAGGCCAAGAGGAGACAGGTTATTGTGGAAATGAAGGGAAAGGGGACACAGGAGCCTAGGAAACTCTGCTTTGTTCCACTGCTCAAAGAGCGACTTAAACATGACGGATCTCCAGTTTCTGTCTGAGGTCCCATCTAAAAAAAAAAGGGTTCTTCAACCCTCAAACCTGCCTTCAAACAAATCCCTTGGGTTTGATGTGATTATTTGCTGCTTCAGGATTTCCCAGAAAAACACAGGCAACCTGAGCTCCGGGGCGGGAATTCAAGTAACTGGAAAGCAGCGGGGTGCACTCTCTGCATATCAATTTTTCAGTTGGCATCAGACTGAGTGTTCCAGTTCCAAGAACTGCCACTGAAAACAAACTCCTTCTTTTGAAGAGATGGGAACTCAGATATTCCCAGGGAAAAAAACAGTCTGGGGGCATAAGTACAGTATAGGTAACGTTTGCTTTTGCATGTAAATCACTAATGCTTTCTGCAGTCCTCACTCATTTTTAGCATCTCTGTCCTTACCCGCTGCTTCGGAGAAGACAGCTCTGTCTTGCAGCTTTGCTGTGGCTTTTACTTTAAGAATGTAAAAAAAAAAAAAAAAAAAAGGCAGGGAAAGAAAGAAAGAAAAAAGAAAAAAGATCATACCCTGACCAATAAAATTATATCGGGAAAAACCCAGTATAGGTTTAATAATGAAAAAGGAGTCCCTTTGCTAAGGGATCTTACTCTGTTTGAGGTAGTAATTCTCCCAAACTAACTAGGAAATCTATGTGTTTTTTATCAGGCTTTGAAGGTGAATTGTGCTTAAGGAATCATCTCTGCTGAGCAATGGCTCCTGAAATTGGGCAAAGATGGTGACTGGGCTCCAGCTCTTCCAGGACCTCCAAGCCTCTCTGCAACCACCTTTCAAATGATTAAATCCAAGACACCTCTGCCAAGTAATGCAATGGCTAAGGTGACCCCTCTTGTCATTCCTGTACAGTTTGGGGGTGTTTATACCGAAACCAGCAGTCCTTGAGAGCTTGTCGACCCTAACCAAAGGTCATGACACTCATGAAGCAGCAGATTTAACTAGCGCTGCTGAATCTGGTTCTGCCCCATCTGCTCGCCCTTCTGCTGTCATGGGTGGCTAAAGAGGACATGCAAGAACTGAAATCAGGAGCGGATTGTATTCCCATAGTAGAATATATATATATATTTTCCCATAATGGACTGTAAACTGTGCTCTTTCCAAGCAGGAACCCCATCTCCCCTACTGCGGATTGCTGCCTGTCAGAGGCTTGTTTCACTTTCTACTCTGGGAGCTGGTCGAGATAGACACCACATCTGGTTGCAATGATCTGAAACTTTCCTGCCTTTCTCCTGGCAGCCTTACTGAAGGCAAGTCGTGTGTGTACAATGTGCACATCAATGTTGCTTTAGTTGGAATATGGATCCCTTTTGGCCTCAGGCTAAAATGTGTTGTCACATGGTGAGAAACAGAATTTTGACTGGAAAGGTAGGAATGCAGAGCCAATATAAATATTCACTGAAAAAATAGGAATTACTTTCAAAATAGGTAAGCTCCCAATTTATTTCTTCCTATTTCCTGAAAATTTATCACATTTGCTTAGCTGATGGCTTTTTCCTACTTATCTCTGTTTTCTCACTGCTGACATATTTCTGAAAGTGCAGCGGGAGCCGTGTCTTGCTACATTTTGTGGGATGTGGTGGTTACGTCAATTAAAACTTGCAGTTTTGTCTTCAGCAGGATTGTGGGTTAGCCAGTTCTACTTTTAACAAATTTGTAGTGATACAGGGTAACCAAAGATACTTTGGCGTAAGTCAGAATTCCTGCGTTCCTCCTTGTGCAAATAAAATGACCAGGGTTGGGATTTGGGGTTTTCTTTTTCGGTCTGAGCTGCTGGAGAATTCCTCTGCATGTCTACAGAGAAAAAACAAAAAAACAACAATGTTGAAAACTGCCTTAATACAGCCAACATATTTGGTTCACTTTTCTGTCCACCTTTCTGGACAGTATGCCAACCAGTACAAGAGAGACAAGGACAGAATGGAGAGCCCAGTGAAGGGCTGCTGTGGTGGCTGAGAGAGTGGCTTTGGAGGAGGTGACAGAGGGGGATCAAATCGTACCTTGTGCTGCTCACGGGGGTTACAAGGACCCTATAAGAGCAGGAAGCCACTGGTAGCAACAAGGGAAACTCTGATTCCCGTGCACCTTGACAGTGCTGCAGCCCTGGGACAGTACCCAGAAAGGTGGTGGGACCTCCATCCCTGGAGATCTTCAAAACTCAACTGGGCATGGTGCTGATCATCTTTCTCTGGCTTTGCAGCCAGACCTGCTTGGAGCAGGAAGTTGGACTGGAGACCTCTGGAGGTCCCATTCCATCAAATCCTTTCGTCATTTTTTTTTCTATGACTTAAGGACCAAGCAGTCCATTGCTGCTGTCAGACACAATTGCTGCTTTTCCCAACTCAAAGCACACAAATTTGCAGGCCTTTTGCTGCAAAAATCCCAACAGCAACGGTTTCCTTCATGGTTTCACCAAAAAGACAACTGCTGCTCTAGCAGAAATGTTCATCTTTCACCAGCCTGATGAGTACAGATTTCTTGCAAAGAATGCAGGGAAAATCTGCTCTTTCTGCCCACTGCTCAAAGAACAGTTGTCTGTTCCCTGAGGGACCACTCTAAGACTTTCTTTGTGAACCTGTTCCCTGAGAGGAGGCCTTCCTACCCCCTTTGCCTTTCCACTTTTTGTCCAGCTTCTGAGACAGATGCTGAGAGACCCACAGATGAAACCTCCATCCACCATGCCCCTCTATAAGCCACATTGCCTACAGTCTCATCTCTTGAGATGGCTAAAACCCCAAAATACCATGGAGGAGGTATTTCAGATGTACTTTTGTCTTGGCAGAAATGCCTCCAAAGTATGAAAAGATGGGAGAGGACTGGGGCGGCTTAGCAAGGATGCGGCAGTGACGAGCAGAGAGGGGCACTGGAGAGATGGTGACTGACTGGGGGGAGTCAGATTTCAGAAAGGGCCTTTTTCAGGAGCTCTGTCTGGCCAGATGTCACGTCTCTTCTGGGGCACCCCTCAGTATAACAAGGTTTCTCATCTGTTTTTGCATTAGGAAACTATTGACAGGCATGATATCACTTATTGACGTGCGTCTGAAAGTCCATTAATTTTGTTCTGTCATTACATTTTAATTCCCATAGCATATCCCATATTTGGCCTGCTGATGTGTTGCATTTCTGCAACATCGCTTCTCCAGATGTCAGCTTCAAACTGGAGATTGAAACATCTGGGGAAGAAAAAAATAAAAGGCAGAGGATTTGCCAGCTGGGGTGGTGTGCATGATGACAGGTTTGTAGGGGAAGGACAACAGCTTGATCTGTTTGCTACAGTGACCTACAGCCAAATAGCTAAGGTGTTATTTACCCACGCTATTTACACACCTCACAGGGCATCACTAAATTCATTGCGAGTCAGTTCCTATTGGAATTGAGCTTATTTTTTTTTTTCCCAAGAGAGTTCAAAATTAAATGTATAATACATTTTTGGAGTCAGTGCTGTCTGTCTGGAGCAATTTCTGTGGGCTAGATGAGCCCTCACGAATGCTTTCAACAAGCAGTTAGCTGGACCGTTAGAACTGCCACACTATTTTCCCAGGCTGACTGATTAAAGTTTAAAAAAAACCCAAAACATTATAATCAAAGATAAACTGAGTGATCATGAGAAAGGAAATGCTTCTGTGAGTAACTCCTCTGTCCTGCCCTGTCATCCTGCAGCGCACTGTTTGTCTGCCCTTTCCCAGGAGAAGACCATGCACGTGGCGGATCCCACTATTTTTGGGATAATGTATATAGCTGGGATTCAGTGTGATCAGGAACAAGAGAAGCTGAGCTCCCATGCCAGCATGCTCCTATGGTCTCCTTTGAGACAAATCGTTTCTCATGGCACGATGAGGTTCTCCCAGGGTCTAGCTTCATCCTGACTTTGGCACCTGAATCGCTGCTGCCAGGAGAAACTGTCCCTGCAATGGGTTCCAAGCCTGGCTGGCCTCTAAAAATGGAAAGAAAGCAAACTATTTTGGGGACTGCTGGAAAGAAGGTCAAGGGGGTTTCAGAGCTATGGGGAAAGGGAAGGACACTGGCAGAGTGGGATGTGGGACCAGTGACGTGGGATTGCAGCCACAGACCAGGGATATGGAGAGGTTCCATGGTGAGAAAGAAATGAGCCGCTGGCACTGGCGTAATGGGCCACAGTAGCCAAAAACGTGGGGGATTAAAGAAACTGTCTGCTGAGCAGCGTTTTACCCAGCTGGTGCCTGTGGGACTGGTGTTTCCAAATATACCAAAGTGAGACTGCATTTGCAGAGCACAGGAAACTAAGCAAAACAAACAACACCCCCCCACCCCCCCAAAAGCTCCAAACTTTGTCTTTAACCATCCCAGTGCTGTCAAAATTGCTTGGTCCTTGTGTGGGAAAATCCCTTATGTCAGAGAACCCCTCCGAGCTGTGCACGCAGCGGGCCAAGGCTGGGGACTTCCCAGGTGTGCTCTTGGGGTAGCTAGCAGATATTTTCTACGAGGTGTATGGAAAATGTGCACCGCAGGCCAAACCTCTTGTACAGCCCTGAGGTCAAAACCTGTCACTCACCTTGAAAGAGAGCGTTGCCCTGTGAGGGTACAGGTGAGGGTGACGTGTCAAGACAAAATATTTTTCAAATTCCCAGTTTTCTGTGGAGAGCTGTGCTCAAGGTGAAACAAGTTTCACCCCGGTGAAATGCATGGGACCCTGGAAGCTGACTGTTGGGGGCTTTTGCAGCTGCGCATCCCGAGGGACTTTCTCAAGGAGCCTTTCTGCCCAAGCAGCACTGGAAACCCAGGGGCGAAGGCTCCCCAGTGCCAGGGAGCTGTCCTGGGGGGTCCTGGGGGAGCAGGATGTGCATGTACCTGCTGCTCTGTCCAGAAAATTGGTCTAACATGACAAACTGGATGCACGGTGTCATCGCTCAGCTGACTGCAGGGAGAGAGCATCTCTGTGCCCCCCGGGGAGGACCAGGCCCCCACGTGAAAAGGGGCAGGGTGGAGGGCATTGTACAGACCTTGGGAGACAGCACACAGGTTCTAAACTGAGCAGGAATTTTACGGCTGTAAAATAGGCTCTAAACTCTGGGAACAGTTGGAGCCAAGTTTAACCCCGATCCTTCCAAACCTGTGCTCACGTAATTGGAGGTCTGCCAGACTAGCCCACTCCAGAAGACTTGTGATATTTTGGGAACAAGAAGGGATTTTTTTCCCCAGAGCTTTTGCCAAACCTCAGCTTCTGAGTGTGAGGACATAGCTCAGGCCGCAGGGTCTTGGTACAGGGTCCTGCTACGTGGCCCAGGAAAAATAAACCTGGATCAAGCCCACCGATGTTGGATGCTTGCAGACCCACGTCTCTCTCGGGCTTGTCGAGCTGCTCAGCATCGTGGCACTGCGGGACCGTGGTCAGGCAGGACTTGGCGCTGCTCCTTCTTGATCCCAGCATGAGTTGTGAGGGAGCCCAGGATTCCCAAGCTACTCTGGGCAGTAAGCCACTGGCCTCCTTCCCATTAGCCATAATCACTGGTTTGCTGGAAAATTTATGAGACCTGCTGTAGTGATATCCATGAGTATAGAAGCTGTTGTAAATGTAATTTGTTTCTAGGATTTGACAGTGTTTATGTGAGCGACTTCAGCCACCCATCATTCGCAGTGGCTATGACAGTGCTGCTGCTGATGGACTCAGATAGCCATGAGCTTCTGTCAAGGGCTGCAGATCCATCTCTGACTCTCCTGGTATTCATCTTGTGCCAAGAAGCATGGCAGTTAGTCCCTCTGGTTTATCATTATTGCTGGAAATGTTGTTGTTAGCCACTAAATTCACTAACCCTATTTTCAAGGTTATTACAGTATTTAACTTGGCTGCTCCATTGTGGTTTTAAAGTTGTATTTCCAACATATGATATGGGGTAAAAATAGCCAGTGTCTAACTAGAATAATCCCTGGAGAAACTCAGATTCCTCAATTTCACAATGAGTTGTTCTCCTTGCAACATGGCAGGCACATTTCAGCTCAGTGACAGATCCTTCTCCGCCAACATGGGTCAACCTAGACCTCCCTCAGCTGGGGAGAGGCTGTGATCAGAGAGGCCAGGAGAAAGCTCCTGAGAAAATCCCTGAGAGCATTTCACATCTCAGGAGACAGCAGCTTCTGTGGGCTGGACGCTTAGGTAGGGCTTAGGTGACCGCCACCAATAGTTTCTGCATTTGTATTTAGCTTTTCCTTTCCTAAGTTATTCTGTGGGTGCGTGAGAAAAATCCCCTGCCTCATCCATCGCCGGAATTTCTGGGAATTGGGCAGACTCTGGCTGTAGCATTATGGTTTGGGGTTTAGGCTGGCAATGGTGCCAGAAATAGTGTTTTGCAAGCAGCAGCAGGCAGCAGTCCGGCGGGCAGTCAGATTCCATGTGGCTATCATTATCCCATGGAGCATTCCTGGGGTCTGCAGTGGGGTATGGGGAATGAGGGCTTGCAGTGGCCTTTAGGCTACCCACCATCCCTGCTCCATCCCACAGAGGGAGATGAGTCAGGCCCTTGGCTCTGCCGCTCCAGCAGCTAGAGAGTGGTTCAGGCCTTCCCACGCTGCCCAAACAGCGCTGTGCTCCGGGGAGCTCGGTTACAGGTGATGAAGTCTTAAGAGGTCTGGATGGGCTGATGGTGATGCTGGTGCTGCTGGGCGGCCC